TCTTCTCTTCTTCTTCTTCTTCTTCTTCTTCTTCTTCTTCTTCTTCTTCTTCTTCTTCTTCTTCTTCTTCTTCTTCTTCTTCTTCTTCTTCTTCTTCTTCTTCTTCTAGATTCCACCTTGACTGCCTCTTCTTCTTCTGGACCTTAGATGAACTCTTTGGTTTAGCTTCGATCATGAGTGCTAATGGATTAGCAGAGAATAGCTTCCTTCCATCTCAGCAGTGTCATTCACAAACTGCTGCAGATGCTCATGAAGTGTGTGCAGAGGGTCCAGTTCATCTAAGTCCAAGTGCTTGTCTCATGTTCTTCACAGTTCTCTTCCACTTTGGGTGCAAGCTCGACAAGAAACGTATGTTCATTTCCATGTTTGATTTCACAACCTTGATCTTTCTCATTTCATTGATCACTTGTACGAATCTATTATACGTTTCATGGAGCGCTTCACCAGGTAGAGCTTTAAATGCATCATAAGCAATCAAGATGTTTGCCTTCTTCGTTTTCAAACCCAAATCAGTTCCAATCATCAGTTTCCTTACTTCGTCCCACATCTCCTTAGCTGTTTGCATGCTATCAATCAGAATGTAGATGTCGTTAGGAATAGCTTGGAGCAGGTACGTTTAACCATTAGATCTGCCTTGATTCTTAGCCTGTCTGCTTCAGTATACTCAGACTTTGCTTTCAATCTTCTTTCTACATTGACGGGAGGATTGTTTACATCATCAGAATTGACGTCCATCCATATCTGTGCTGGTCCTTCAGTGAGTGATTCCAGCATTGCAGATGAGTTGTCTTTTCCTTCAAGAAAAGTTCAGAAACCTCGTCCTCCACATTTGATATTCTCCTCTTCTCAGGAATGGAGGTCTGTTTTCATTTCTGATGTGCTAATGCTTCCATCTTTGCTGTTTGACTTTTTAAAAGACCGTTCGAGTGATTTGATCAGAAAAGTTAAAGTACTAAATATCGAAAACCCTAGTTCAGGACATAGTTCGAGAAGTAGAGTTCGAGAAGCTGTATCGAGAAGCAGTTTTCGATATAGATATCGAAAACCCTGCTATCGAGAAGCTAGGTTTCGAGAAGCAGCTATCGAGAACTTCAGTATCGAGAACCTGAGTTCGAGGAACTTAGTTTCGAGAACTGAGTATCGAGAAGCTGTATCGAGAACCTGCAAATTCGAAAAAAGGTATCGAGAACTAAATATCAAAAACTGAGTATCGAGAAATGAAACTTCGAAAACTCAATTCGAGAACTAGTATCGACAACGTAGTGTCGAAATCCTGCAAATCAAAAATTCAATTTTAAGCAATTTAATCAACTTTTCTGTAAAGTTCTTAATCTCGAGATCCTTCCTGTGCTATTTCCAGCTTGAGAAAACCTGTTTAGATGTCGAGAACCCTGCTTTATCGACATTACAATATCGGAACTTCAAAAAATTCAAGTTTACTGAAATCAAAGAATAAGCTATACTCTTGGTTCGTTTTTGACTGCGAATCCAATGGTATACTTTTACAGATTATCGATTAGAAACAAGATTACAAGGCTTAAAACAGAGAAATATCGAAAAGCATAAAAACAGAGGATTTCGAAAACTTTTTCTTCGACAATCACACTCGAGATGCTCTGATACCAGTTGTTGGTCCCAGATTTCTGCAGACTAACACACAGCTAGATGGTATTCATCGATAAACAGAGAGAAAGAAGATCTGATAATGATAAAGCAATATCGAGAACAGAGAAATTATTCTTCTATTTTATCGAGAACTGTTTTGACAGCATAAGGCTAGAGAATAGAATGATCGACATCTGAACCTGTACAGGACGCGCATATTTATAGGCACTGTACAGGTTACCGAATTAGGTTACCTAGGAGTTTGGGCCTAAAGCCTTTTTGGGCCTTATTCCTTCACTCCTATTTATTACATAGTAGAACTAATACCGTAAATGGTATATCTATTCTAATTTATTTAAACAAGACATTACAGACAAACTTGACTCACAATAAAAGTTCTAACAATTTATAAACCATTAAGTATATTATTTGTTTAGTTCTTAATTCTATAAATTTAATGTTTATTACGGAGTACTAGATTTATTATGATTTGCAAGATATTGACTTTTGATATTCATAGTTTTACTAAGCGAAACACTTATACATATGCTTTAATATATTGCTATAATACTAATATGTTGATATTTTAAATCATAATTTACATTTTTTTATTGCTTGACAATGATATGTAGTTATATTATAGGGAAAATTACGGAAAAGGTACTTGTGGTTGGACCCATTTTCAGATAGATTCATGTGTTTCATTCTTTATCAAAGTGGTTCATGTGTTTGAATTCCATTATCACAAGAGGGTCACGCCGTTAAAAATGTCTGAAAAAGCCCGTTAAAAGTAACTCTGGTTTTCAAAAGTGCTTGGGAAATTTAAAGAAAAATACCGAAATGTGCGCCTCAATAAGATGACCTCCAAACCACCTTCGCGTTGGATTTTTCAGATCTGTTTGAATTATTTTTTTAAAAATGATTTCGCTAATATCACTTTTCCGGTGACAAGGGTGGCTGAAACATATAAGAAAGATAGCCTAGTGAAATCATTTTTAAAAAAATATTTTCAAACAGATCTGAATAATCCAAAGACGAAGGTGGTTTGGAGGTCACTTATTGAGGTGCACCTTCCAGTATTTTTCTTTTAATTACCAGGCACTTTTGAAAATCGAAATTACTTTTAACGGTCTTTTTCAGACGTTTTTAACGGCGTGGACCCTCTTGTGATAACGAAATTCAAACACATGAACCACTTTGATAAAGAATGAAACACATGAACCTATCTGAAAACGGGCCCAACCACATGTACCTTTTCCGTACTTTTCCCTATATTATAAGTTAATTGTGTTTTTTATCACATAAATTTTTACTACTGAATAAATATGTATTAATATAAATTATTATACCTTAAACGACATAGCATAAAGGTAAACCTATAGAGCATATATATCTTTATCTGAAGAGACAGAAAAGTAAGTTATTTACTATTAAATAAAAATCTTTTACGTAAAATAGAAAATGATATAGTGGAAATGACAACATTTACAAATAAAATTTTAACTTTTGCGGGTGCACTATATATTAATTCATATATGCGTTTAATTAATTTAGAAAAATGTTTAAATTGTTATGTATACATTCTAATCCATTCCTTGGAAGTGCATTTAGTTCCTCTCTCTTGTTTGATTATACTTGTTTTTGTATTGCATTATTACATAGTACTATTAATTATAGATTACTATAGTTTTTTGTTTCATTTTGTAATTACTATTTTTAATCAACAAAGATGTTTTGGTTAAAACCGAAAACTGAAATTGAATTGAAAAAACTGTGATTTCAAATTTTCAAACACATATTCTAAGTCAAACAAACTTTTTACTTTACTTCATTTGATTTTGGATGAAAATGGAATTCAAATCCAAAACACAGCTGAGTTAATCATTTACTTTTACGAATAAAATATTATCACGCATTTCTGTATATACGAAAGTACGGCGCAATAATAATAGTATAATACGGAGTATAAAGCATGTACATGTGGGCATGGTATGGTGTGAAGAACAGTATCTATCACAGCTGGTCATCTTTTCCAAATGTTCTCTCTCTCTCCCTTCTGCTACTCACTTCATCATACTACATAATAGTATTTATAAATTCTTCTATAATATTTACGGATCGGAGTAGTATAGTATTTTTCCGTTCAATTTTTGATGCCTCTACCTTTTCTGCCTCGTCGTTTGTTTTCCGAGGATTGGGGCAAGAATTTTCCTGGCCACAAGGGTAAGCGGGGCAGTGAGAGTGAGGGGCGATTGCAGATTTGGAATGGGTGGGGTGACGTCCTCAATGGCGGCGAAGCTGGCTTTCTTCCCACCTAGCCCGCCGTCGTACAAAGTGGTCAAGGACGAGGTCACGGGGCTGCTGCTGCTTGACCCGTTCCCTCACCGGGAAAACGTCGACGTCCTGCGACTGAAGACCCGCCGGGGGTCGAGATCGTGGCGCTGTATGTCCGGGTATCCGATGGCCACCTCCACGGCTGCTCTACTCCCATGGCAACGCCGCCGATATAGGGCAGATGTATGAGCTCTTCATCCAGCTCAGCATTCACCTCAAGGTGAATCTTATGGGGTCAGTTTCTTACTTCTTTACACACCCTATTCACTTTTTTCTTCTTGCAGTTACAAAATTAGTTTCTTTCTGGGTAAACATGTTTGCTCAATTGGATTCCATTGCTTTTCTTTCTTTACTGCCATCCATTAAATTGAGCAACTTCAAAAATAGCGGCAATACTTCAAATACAATTAGAATTACTGTGGGTTCTATAACTTTTTGAAACAGACGTATTGGAGCCATTTAGTCCAAGGCATTAATTTTTTTTTCATTTAAATATTTACCTAGAAACAGCATATTTCCGATTGAGAATAGCTGATCAATCTAGCCAACATCTTTTCATCCATGGCCTTAGATCTATTGACTTTTGGGTGATATTAAGCACAAAGGTGATAGCTAATTGGCGGAGCAATTTAGCTTACATTTCGTGGTCATCTTATTTGATCACAAGTAGAAAAGAATATTCTTTTCTTTGTTTACAATCATTCACACATTTCTTTGTTGGGATTTTACTGATTGAAAAGTTACATTTCTCAATTGGTGGATCAAACAATATTATTATGCAATAGATAAAATATTTGAACACCCTATATTTGGGTTTAAGATCCGCCACTCATTAGATCCTTTCTTTGAATTTAAAATCAATTATAGAAATTGGAGAGTCACTCGAAATCTATTTTTTTTTATTCTATGCCTTGTTTGGTTTGGAGTTTAAGAAGGGAAGTGAAGCGGTGAAATCTACTTTTATAAATTTACCCTTACACTTGGATGGTGAGAAAACAAGTTAGAATGAATATGCATGTGTGTGTGAATACACAATATAACTTCTCAAGTACTCAACTACTCCCTCTGTCCCAGAATTATCATCATACTTTCCTTTTCCGTCCGTCCCAAAATAATCCCTTCTTCCCTTTTTGGCAAAGGAATTTTGTGGTTCATAGCATTTCTTGCACATTCTTACATATTTCTCTCTCAGATGCACAACTCTCCACCACACAAAACCCACTATCTTAATCTTTGTGCCATTTGTACTTTTAGAAAATAAATTTGGGACAGAGGGAGTATATTTTAGTCTAAGAATGTTTTCACTTGCACTTACCAGGCATAGACAGAATAGATCAAAGTTAAACCATCATAAGACAAGAGTAAAAATACACATGTATCATACCTTTGTCGTACCAGATTTAATAGATCATACCAAACCATATGAGAAAATTATAGTCTAATTGAAAACATCCTATGGCTAATCTTCTTCTTCTTCATTACCCCAGTGCCGCAAAGGCTCCCACCTACGGTGGGGTAAGGGGGGTCGGATGTACGCAGTCTTACCCCTGTACTAAAGCACAGAGAGACTGTTTCTGGATGACCCAAGATCCTATGGTTAATGAGTAGAATAAATTACATTGAACAAAAAAGAACATCCTATCCTGCCCTCCCAAATCCCCCAACAAAACAAGACCAAAGAGTTGCTCTTATGTGGACTCATTGCTAATATTTGTACGGTTTCATATATTCATATCTGGAAAGAGAGAAAACTGTCAATAAAATGTTGCAGGATGTGCATTTTCACTTGGATTTAAATTTTATGGCATGGTTTGTCTGTTTTGGTTTGGAAAATGTTTGATATATGTGTATTTTTACTATTGTTTAAGTCTTGTTTGGTTTGTTTATGTCTAGCATGAATTGTGACAGTGAACACATCATATTTCAAAAGTCAATAACCTATTTTGTCATTCGAAAATAAATTCCGATGTAGATTGACAACATTTCATTGTCCCCTTTTATCTGTTCATTTATGAGATCCATGCACATTAAGGCTCCCTTTGGAAGGTGAGAATGCTAGGGAAAAAGTAAGAAGAATATGAACAAAAGAATATGTCGATCAAAATAAACGTTGTTTAAATATATTTTTAATATTCATCAAATTCAATTTATCTATTTATTTCAATTTGCTAATCAATCAAGTTTATGGAAAGAATTTAAAATATCATTTGGATTTCACTTTCCTTGGCATTTCTTGGGGTAAATCTAGACATAAGAAAACAATATTCCTTAACATTTCATTTTTGGAAAATTTGAAAATAATAATCCCAACTATTGCCGGTCTGCCGACAATAATCCCAACTATTGATTACTTTTGTATAATCCCAACTATATAGACCATCCGCCAATAATGGTCCATGATAAGATATTACCTCATATAATAAGTGAGTTTTAATAGAAATAAAGCGTAAAAATTACAAGTTGAGATTATTTATAGGGATTACTTGCTATATCTCTTTCCATCCACTTTAGAAACTACAAAAATTTATTTATAGGGATCGTTATTGGCGGAAGGTCCCTAAAGTTGGGATTATTCTGAAATAATCGATAGCTGGGATTATTATAATCGGACCGCCGATAGTTGGGATTATTACTATCAATTTTTCCTTCATTTTTTTCATAGGATTTTCAGGGATCCAAGCATAGCCTAAATATAGTTTTTTGAATTGGTTCTTTTATACTCCCTCCGTCCCTTTTTATTTAGCCAAAGACTATTTTTCAAGTCAAAGTTGTTCAATGTACTGTTCAATGTACATTTTTGAAAAGGGACTGAGGTAGTACTATTCAATGTACTGTTTTTACCAAGGGGTGTAGGGGTGCCTGGGTGGGCGATTTCACCTTTTTTTGAGTTGATGTATTGTTTCTTCTACCAAGGGAATATTAGTGAAAGGAAAGAGTGTTACTTTAAGTGAGAACAATTACGGTAAAGCATTAAAAGTTTTCCTACTTTATCACCCCAATGCATCTTTTAAATTATGTGGTTTGGTCAACTTAGACTGTAAAGACGAAATAGGAATGGAGCAAGCGTTATGTGCTTATATCGCTGTTGGAGGTACATTGTGATCGGTCAGTTTGAGTCCGAGAATGAGTCCAACTTTAGTGTCGACAAACACACCATTCTTATTCAGAATCAAATATGTATGTTTGAGGATAATCTTTTTCATAGTCTGGGTTCAATACCAATTAGTATCATATTAAGTTCATAATCAAATATCATATTAAATTAAATTCAATAAAAAGTTGAGGACCAAATGGAGTAATGTTGTACAGTTGAGAGACTAAATCAGGTGTTATCTATGATAAGAATGATGTAAGTGAGCACTGCTGTTTAGAAGCTGAACAGTTGTCATAACATTTGTTTTTTGGCTTGGATGTACTTGCCGAATCAGACATTCAGTGAATAGACTTCATAGCTATTTCTTGTTTTAGCTGCAAGTGAAATTTGGTAATTTAAGACCCATACAGCATTCCATCTAGTGCAGTTAGGTTTCGTCTTAACTTCTTATGATTTACTTATGAATATTGTATATTATGTGTTGCATTATTAAAGGAAAGTTTATTAGTTGTCAATTAAATGTTATCATTATAGCACTGAACTTGTTTGGCCTCTATGTTAACATGTTGTTTATCCAAACATTGTCAAGAGTAATAAGTTACAAAAGGGATAGAAAAAACAACATTGTAATTTTGAAAAGTAAATGCTTTAACAAATTTTTAACAGAATTATAATTTTGCTTCTGATGCAGGTATGACTACTCCGGTTATGGGCAGTCCACCGGAAAGGTGAGTAGGCTGGGTAGAAAAATTATGGGTAGAAAAATTTCTTTGTTCATTCTATTATTTACAAATCCTCTCAATACTGTGTGGAATGCTGAAAATACTGGAGAAAGAAATAGGGAGGAAAATTTTGGGGAAAAATAAAATATGTCAGTTTAAATAAAACGGATTTCTTTTAGATTTTTCAGAACTCATTTTATTTTAAAAAATTGTTTCAAACAGGAGACAAAGTGCACAAATAGGAGTGACTGTTTATTCATAAAATAGGACTGATTTCATTCTATGAAAAGTATAAAACTTCTCCAATGAGGAACAAATGAGTCCTATTTTAGGAAGAAAATAATGGTGGTCATATTTGTATAAAAGTTGATAAAATTAATCATATCTGGTGATCCTTTGAATTTTCAATATAAAGCCAAACACAAGAGTACAACTTTAACTGGGTTCTTTCCCTTTTCAAGCATTTTCCTAAATCTAAGCATACAATAAATGTTTTTTGGAATATAACTTTTGCAGCCAAGTGAACATAACACTTATGCGGATATAGAAGCTGCTTACAAGTCTCTTGAAGAAAGCTATGGTGCTAAGCAAGAAGATATTATCCTTTATGGGCAATCTGTTGGGAGTGGCCCGACTGTGGATCTTGCTTCTCGTCTACCTCGACTAAGGGCAGTTGTTTTGCACAGTCCAATCCTGTCAGGGTTAAGGGTCATGTACCCTGTGAAGCGGACTTACTGGTTTGACATCTACAAGGTATAAAAAATATAATGCTTGTGATTTTTTACCTTCACTTGACAGTTAACATTACGATTTTTTTCCAAAAGAAAAACACAGCTATCTCAGTTTACATTTTCTAAATATGTTTGGTGTGGTGATTCCTGCAGAATATTGACAAAATTACATTGGTGAAATGTCCAGTTTTGGTCATTCATGTAAGTATAAATTCATTTTATTTATGTAGCATATAGTTCCATTTAACATTTTCTTTGTTGATTCTCTTGGTTGCTTATCATGTGTAACTTTTTTTATGATGGACTGGAATTAATTTAAAGTAGAAATAGTCTTACATCTTAAAAGCAAGAACCTAAAAAAAGGTTTTTTTGAGGAAACAATTGTATATAATAGTACTTTTTTCTGAAATATATAATTTAAAAAGAAAAAAGTGCACCAAAATAACAAACGACTGGATGCTATGGAGTTAGGCAGTTTGCAGTACTGGGATACACACACTTTTATATTCCAGCATGCTAAACTGATAATGCTATGTTGTGATGAAAGCCTATTCCGAAGTTATATTGCTATGCATGTGAGTCAGCATGGACTGCCTCAGTAGAAGAACCTAATGGTCTCTTTGTTTCGGGGTATATCGAGGTTCATCTAGGTTTAGTTCAAAGTTCACCTACGAAAACTTCTAGAAAGGGATGGTCATAACCCTCTCCTTCTTCCCCTCCCATCCAAAACCTAACTCCCAAACATACCCTAAGTTTACGTAAGTTTACTCTATCGAAATAGATCATAAGGTTCAGTTCACCTTATTCTTTGTGTATTACTCTGTACTTATTTGGCATCTTAGTCATATCCAAGGTTGTTAAACTCGAGATCCTAGCACGGATCGGAAGGGGTCTAGGAGATCGTAACTCGGGGATCGTAACTCGGATCGTAAGATCCTACAGTGCAATATACACACACACAATATATATATATATATATATATATATATATAACATATATATATATATTATGCACTCAATTTAATATTTATATTTAACATTAATAATTATTAGTAGGAGTAATAACAAATTGAAAGATAAATTACAAAACATTTGAGATAAGAAGGTCAAAGGTAAACTCCAAAACATTTGACATAACAAAATTACATCTTAATATAAAATCATCCATCATTTGACCCACTTGCCATGCCCTAGTCGCTACTCGGTAGCTTCAGGACAATAAAAAGCAGTCCCAAAAGATTAAAATTGGAACTGCCAGAACAACTAAAGCGGACGAAAGATAGAAATCAGAGACACGATGAAGAAAACGAAGCAAGAAGACTGATTTAAAGCGCAAGAAGCTGCGAAGAGCAGAAGATTAAAGTTGCAGCAGGTGACGCTAGGGCTTCGTTCATCTTAAGCCGCGATGTTTTTTTTTAACTTGTCGTTCTGAGACTTCTTTCCCGTTTTTTAGCTTTGAAGTCGCAACTCGGGTAGATCGCAGAATCGGACGAGTTACGATCCTACTCGTCGATCCGACGATCCCAAGCCTTTTTCCGATCTTAGCAGCGATCCAGCTCGCACCTCTCTATTCTGATCGTAAAATCGTACGATCCTACGAGTTGGATCGCGATCCTAACAACCTTGGTCAGACCAAAAAGACTGGAAATATTTGAGTTAGACCTAGACCAGTAATATTTAGGCAGGCCCATATGTGTTTGATGGTGTTAGACAACATTTGAAAGATTTAGACCAAACTAGAACAGAACTATTCAAAGTTTCAAACTATTCTGACAATGCCGAAAAATGGCAGCCCAGTGCACATTGGCATTCACGCGCGGAGAGAGTTCGAGGAAGGGTGCTACCCACCATAAGGGTGTATAGGGGGCAAGCTTTCCCTTGTCATTTTGATAAGAGGCCTCTTCCAAAGTTCCCTTATCATTTTGATAATAGGCTAGGCGATGCCCAATATATAAAAAAAACAGATAAGATCACATTTTGTACAGCGAAGAGAACAATTGTTAGTTTATCTTGAGAAATAATAAACGTTGACTGAAAGATTGGGTGACCGATCACCTAGAGTATTCTATCAGTACATTTATAAAACCTTAAGCATGTATAAAAGTTACTTAGCCCTCCAAATCTTTCCCTCCAAGCTCTGACCCCCCACCCCATGGGAGTTCGATTCCCCCGAGCACATGTAGCTCATGTGTTCTACATTTCATATATTCTGATTTTTTTTCAATATTATGTAGGGAACATCTGATGAAGTGGTTGATTGTTCCCACGGGAAGCAGCTATGGGAACTATGTCAGGAGAAATATGAACCATTGTGGCTGAAGGGTGGGACCCACTGCGACTTGGAACTATACCCAGAATACATAAGACACCTGAAGAAGTTTGTATCAACAGTTGAGAAACCCCTTTCACAGCGTAGCATCTCAAGGAAGAGTATAGACCGGGCAGAGAATTCCCGGAAAAGCACAGATGGCCCGAGGAAAAGCACCGACAGGAGAGAGAAGCCGAGACACAGCACGGACAAACAGCCAGAAAAGCTTTTGATGACGAACTTCAAATTCTCCAGTGAAGAGAAGTTCTCAAAGCTGAGGATTCCTTTCGATCATCAGATGGAGAGGTCCCGAAGGAGTGTAGAGATTTTTGAGAAGCCACGCAGAAGCATCGAGCAACAGATGGAAAAGGCTCGGAAAAGTGTTGATTGGTTGGAAAGGATTCGTGTTGGTTGAATACTGCAAGCTGCAGCAGAGAGGACACTGTAAATTTAGCTAAACCGCGGCTTGGGGGGAGGAGCCGAGGAGGATATTTCGGGGGGTCTGGTTAACTTATAATGGCCTATGTTGTGTCCTTTAGCATATGTACTGGGGACTATTTTTGTCTTTTGTAATGTGTATTTTTGTGTGGGAAAGGTAGAGAGAAAGAGAAAGAGAAAAATTTGATGATATGATTGTGTTTTTGTTGGCTGATTATTAAGTAGCATCATTTTAGTTTTTGTATAGGAAATGCTTTTCTTAAACATCAGATTTTGGATTATTGAAATTCCCATCTTTAAAGAATTTATGTTGCCTTTACATTCTGTAGTTGATTTGATATGATGATGTTCGATTGTGCTCTTAGACATTAGATGCCAATATGTAGGGGTGGGTTCGGTTTTCACCTAAAACCAAATGCCGAACCAAAGTAAAAAGTTCGGTTCGGTTTTATGTTCAAAAAATTGGAACCACGGTTTGTTTGGTTCGGTTTATTTCGGTTTGGTTTCGTTTTTTTCGGTTTTTACCAAAACAATTTTGTTGATTAGAAAATTAGTAATTGGAAAACAAAAACTAAAAAATAAACTAGATCAAACTATTATTAATAGTAATACAATACACAAACATACATAATTAAAAAAGAGAGAACAAATAAATGCACTTCAAAGCAATGAATTAGAGAGTTGTATACCAATTAAACATATTCTAAATTAATTAAACACATGAGTTTATTTGTGAATTATATACAGTGTATTCACAAGTTAAAATTTTTAGTAAATAACTTATTCTACTTAGCAAAGATATTTATGCTCTAAAGCTTCACATTTTCTACTATGTTGTTTAAAGTATAGTTTCTATTAATAGATATTTTTTAAATATAAAAATTATTTGATAATAAACATACATAATATATAATATATCAACAAAATATCATTATCATGCAACAACAAGTAAAATGTAAATTACGATTTAAAATATCAACGTATTAGTATCATAGCAATAGACTTAAGTGTATGTACAATGTTTCACTTGATTAAATCATATATTTTAAATGTCAATATCTTACAAATCATAACAAATCTAGTATCAACCATTAATTTTCTAGAATTAAGAATTAATAACTAAACAAAACATTATCTATATGGGAAAGTTCCCGAAATAGGACTAAAACAGTTTGGAAATTCCAAAATAGGACTGTCATGTTTTTTATTCCCAAAATAGGAGTAATTACTGCCAAGTTTGGAAAATTCTGCCATGTTTGAAGTCTGGTACTGCCAAAACATGACAGTAATTAGTCCTATTTTAGGAATAAAAACATGGAAGTCCTATTTTGGAATTTTCAAACCTTTTTAGTCCTATTTTGGATAATATCTCTATATTTAATGATTAATAAATAAGATAACAAGTTTTAAAATGTTGGGTTTATTCGGTTCAGTTTTGAGATGTGAAAACCAAAACCGAAACCAAACAACTACGGTTCGGTTCGGTTTTTTGAGTTCGGTTTAGGTTTTCTTGCGGTTCAGTTGTTTTGGTTGCGGTTCGGGTTTTTTCGATTCGGTTTTTGGTTTCTCTGACCCACCCCTACCAATATCTCAGTAGCTTGGGTATCTACTCAGCATGTTTCGGAGTATGGGGTGGGAAAGGCTAGCAGGGGCTTGGACGTGGCAGTGTGGCTTGATTTGATTAAGGTTTGGCTTATTTGGCTTGATTTTCCCCGAGTATCGTGTCTCTCGAGGAATGGCGGAGGAGCTTCTTGATTTTAAGTCCAGTCACAGGTTATCGCAAATTATTGGAAGCTTTTCAAATTAAACTTTTGATTGATTTTCTAAACTACTTTTTGGAAAGGAAAGTAAATTAAATTGTGCAAATACTAATGATGGCTCAAAAATAAACTAAAGAAAAAAATATAATATTAAACTTAAATGGATTGATCCAAATAAGGGCAATGAATTGAGTAATTAGAAATGGATATATTCTTGGACCTAGTAATTAGGGAAATTAAAACTAAAATTGGACTAATAATTTCTTTCCTCATAGACAAGAATGGAAACCATTTTCATTAATTTATCCTATTTCTAGGTGTCATTAATGTGTTCAAAATGGTTGGCTTGAATTAAATTCTAACCTCATAGACAAGGTATAAATAATTCTCCAATATTTTAATTAATAAAAATAGCCAAATTCATTAACTTAGTTAAACTCATGGGTTTTTTATAAGAATATTACTAAAATAAAACTTATTTATATAAATATGACTATTCATTACTACAACGTAGTGTTGTAGTAACTTAAGTTCAAAACATGATCATGAATTACTATGATTTCATTACTACTCTAGTAACTAATCATATTTTTGTAAATCATCTTTATTTTGGTCATATTTATGTAATTATTTCTAAACTCATTATTTAAGCAATTGAATTTATCTCTCATAGACAAGATGTAAATCCCTTTCATCAAATTATCCTATTTCTAGGCCTTATTAATGTGCTTGAATATGGTTGGCTTAAATTATTTTCTAATCTCATAGACAAGTTAGATATAATTTTCCAAGAATTTAATTAATGAATATGGCTAACAATTATTAACTACTGTTTCATCATTTCAAACAACTAGTCCAAATTATTAATTTTAATCCCTAATTTTAGGTCAACAAGTCAATCCATATTCCTTTAGTCAATTCATGCCCAAAACAAATTTAGCTAATAAACATCATTTTTTCATTTAACAATACAATGAATAAATTCAACATTAACAAGAAATTAAGCATGTATAATAACGAAAATTAAACAAAAATAATATTCTGCCAAAATAAAAATGTAGAACTAATATATCACCTTCTGGAATTTTTTTCCGAATTTTATAACCTAAAATCTAATTTTAACAACTATTTGATAATTTTCCCAATATTAACTAGAAAATACAAAAAGCAACTACAAATATTCTAAATTCGTTCTAAATTTTATATTGACTACTGGGAGTGATTTTACTGTGAATTACACTTGAATTAGGAAAGAAACTATTTTTTTTTACCTTTTTTGAGTAATTAATTTAATTTATGCAATAATAACAACTAAATGCCGGAATTAATTAAAAATTACTTCTGCTTCGTAAAAATTAACTTTTTTTTTATAAATAACTACCTTGAGGCTATTAAACAACTATATAATTAATTGGAATGGATTTAATGTCAACAACTATTTTATTCAAATTTAAGAAGAAAATGCGAAATAGTGGAATAATTTTCTGGAAATTTTCGAAGCACAGATAGAAAAAACTAAGTACAGATTCAGATTCTACTCATTGAAAGGATGAAAATACATATAAAGAACTCACAATTTGGAGCTAAAATGAGAAAGATATGAAAGATTGAAGTTGAAGGTGCAACAATGGTGGAAATCCGAGCTTTGAGGAGGAAGAAGACGCCCTTTTTTATCTGATTTGGGCTTGAAATTGGTGTGTTTTGAGTTGGGGATGGAAGAGGGCTTTTATAGCCGGAGTTTTGTGGAAGGCGGCCAGAAGGGCGGCCGCCCTCCGGCCATGGCCGGCAGCCTTCCATCACTTCTCCGACAAAGCTTCGTGCACGGGTTGAATCCGCCGCAGGCGTCCACGGTAGGCGGCCGCCCTTTTGGCCGCCTCCCGTCTTGTCTCAGCTACCGGCATCTCATAAATCACATCCCGCCGCAGGCGGCCACGGAGGGCGGCCGCCCTCCGTCCCCCGTCGGCAGCCTTCCATTATTTCGTGGCCATGCAAAGTGTTATGTGCTGAAACTGTGAAAAACTCGTAGGCGCCCAAAAAGGCGGCCTCCATATCGACCGCCTTACGTCAAATGAACAAGTTGTCTTCACCAAAGTTGTAGATCTCTTTCTTGGCTAACTGCTGGAATTTGAATGACATGCATTGGATTTGTAGTTTATGAGATATGGCCAAAACGGTGAGCACGTGTCACTTTCCATCGCAACTGCAAATGTCTGACTTCTTTGAGCAATATGTCCATTCTAAAATTGTTATTTGGCTATGTGTTCTTCATAAGAGTTGTAGATAAGGAAGATATCTATGTAATGCAACTTGTATCATGAAGTTTGGACAATTATGCGCAAAGTTATGATCATAATACGAACATGTGTCTCTATGCATCATCCATTTTTCATCAAAAGTGGCCATATAGGCGACATCTTCTTGGTTTTGAGCTTCCTTGCATGATTTCTTCATCTCTTGGACTCTTCTTATTGAACAATTGGTCAATTTATCTTGCAAACTTCCGTAGCAATTCATTTGTTGGCAAAAAAATGCCACTTTCTTCACGCAATTGACCCGAGATTTCGCCAAACATGTTATGAATGTGATTTTTACCCGATTTCATGAAACTTGAACCAAAATATATAAAACATGTCTTTTCTTTCTATTTTCAATCAAAAATCGCTTAAATTTGATAAGAAAAATAAGTACAAAAATGGACTTATCAGAGCCCTATTTAGTGACTTTGTTTTTCGGCTTATTAGGCTTATCAATCAACTTTTTGACCAAACACGTAACTTTTGATTCCGTGCGCTGAATTGTGTAATAATAAGAAAACGTACGGTTGAAGTTACTTTTTTGGCTGTATTGGCCGAAGTTACTGTAGATGGTCATTTTATCTATTTTCATGAAAAAATGACATGTATATTACTAATAGAGTTTCACCAGACAAAAACATGACTAGTTATGTTTTTGAACAAAAATATGACTAGTCACTATGTATGAGTAAATGGAAGAGTCATTATAGTGTATTTCAGAGTGACAAGTCACTAGTAGATGATTAGTCACTGAGGACTAGTCACTAAATTTGTTACTTTTTGGAAAAATTTAAAACTAGTCATATTTTTGTGTTTTGAATTTAATTTAATAATATTCATGGAAAAATGCCTTTTCCATATAATTTTTTCTTTATTTTATTAATAAAATATATTTTAAATATAATTTTTTCATAAATCAACAGAATCAGTCAATACAGCCACTTCAGCCAGAATTTCATAAATTTCAGCAGAATCATCCGATTTCAGTGTTACCAAACAGCCTCTTAATTACCAAATTAGGTTTACGCTTTTAGAAAAGCTCATTTATCTAATAAGCTAGACGCAACTCAACTTTAAAACCTTAATTTAACAAGTCGTCTTCTGTGTGTGTGTGAGAGAGAGAGTAATATTCAAGTCAGGACTTCTGGACAGGAACCGCCGTTTGGGTTCCTTCCCAGTGAATTTTTTTATAAAAGTTTTGGGCATGTTCTTCATTAAGTCTAGTTTATGTCTACCAAATTTTAGCTAAGAATTTCACCGGAAAATAAGTCAAATAATATTTAGAAGATAAC